AACCCCCCCCCCCCCCCCCCCCGGGGAGTAATCAACCTGCGTAGCGCAGACAACTCCCCCTTCAAAATCAAGGGATACACTCGATTTTGTTCATGAGCCCTAGCCCTGTTAAGGGCCGTCGGACTTGGGGCTGCTGTTTAACTGTGTGTATTAGCTCGCATGAGAGAGGAGAGAGGGAGAAGGAGGAGAGGCCCCAATTCTCGAGAGAACACGGGGACTCCGCACTATCATCCAAAGCCTCTCAGCACATACCCTTCAAGTTGTCCCAGCTGCGTCCTACGTAACGGCTACTACTATCTACTTCTACGCACGAACAGATTTCATCTCACTCTAGGAGATATCATCCTACCCGTAGAAACCTTATTACTACCATCGTTGGGCCCCGATAACATGTTATTAGACAACAGCATCATAGGAGCATTCGGCGGAGTGTTTGATTGGCAAGCAGAAACATTGTCTTTCAAGCAATCAAACTGGACTATTCCAGCAACACACCGCAGAACTCGAAAGCCAACAACCAATACATCGGGCGAAGACAACTGCTCGATAGTAGTACAAGACGGCGAAGCAGAACCAGTTCCGGTTTATCTCAACAAGAAATGTTACATACCGGCACGCAGTGAAATAGCTGTAGAAATCCACTCAACGGTGGCACCCCCTGCAGAAACCGTAACTGCCTTGGTAGAACCGCGCATCATCACCTCGGAGGACATTACCTCACCGGATACGCCACAGGCTTTCCATCGGATAGTCGTTGCTCGCACGGTGTGCCATTGGTCCAACACGAACGGAGCAGTGGTTCAAATCGCCAACCCATCCAACCGACTAGCACGTCTGCCAGCGAAAACGTTAGTGGAGTACATCTCCCCTGTCAAATCGGTACTTCCGCAGACAGTAAGTGGTGTACAATCGAGCCCTGACGAAGTCGCGAAACACCGCCAGGACTTGGGAAAAGCTCTCACGAAAGCCTTCGCGCAAACCACCTTCTCCGAGGAACAACGTGAGCAAGTATTACAACTGTGTACACGCTACCGTTCCGTCTTCTCCCTAAATCCCAGCGAGCTAGGTAAATGCAATCTCACCGAAGCCGACTTTCCCCTAGAGTCGGGCACACGCCCTATTAACAGAGCTCCTTACCGCGCGAATCCGCGTGCACAAGAGGTAATTGACAAGTGTGTACACGATATGGAACAAGCAGGGATCGTTGAACAAAGAGCGAGCCCGTGGGGTTCAGCAGTAACGCTAGTAGCCAAAGCTGATGGTACACCCCGGTTCTGTGTAGACTAGCGGACCACGGTCAACAAACACTTAATCCGAAAATCATGGTCCATGCCGGAAATGGCTAGCCACATTGACACCGTTGCAGGTGCGAAATACATCACAGTCTGTGACATTCAGAACGCATACCACCAGCTACCCATCAGCGATAAAACAGAGCAAGACAAAACGGCGTTTGTAACACGCAATGGAAAATGGGTCTGTAAACGCCTTCCCTTCGGAATTGCCAATGCACCATTTTTGTTCCAACGCACTATGGCTTTAGCTTTTGCTCACTTTGGACCGAAATCAGGCCTCCTGGTATACATGGATGACTTAATCTGTTGTTCATCAACATGGGAAGGTCACTTATCTTTGTTGGAAAACACGTTCAAGGCTTTGCAAGCAGCAGGGCTTACCTTGAAACCTTCAAAGGTACAATTCGGACCCAAAGATGTGAAATACGTGGGACACATCCTATCTGCCGATGGGATACGCCTTGGTGAAGATCGGATCAAAGCCATTCTAGATTTACCTACACCCACGAACATCAACGACCTGCGTTCAGTGTTAGGTATGGTGAACTATGTCAGGAAATTTATACCGAACCTAGCCGCCATCACCGCGCCCTGGGTTGACCTCACGAAAAAGGAAGCAGTCAAATCGGTCTCGAAACGCTGGGGTCCGGAACATGATAAGGCATTTGCCGAAATAAAGCATCTGCTTACGAAAGCACCTGTCTTAAATTTTCCGGATTTCTCTATAGAATTCGTGATTCATGTCGATGCATCTGAAACTGGTGCAGGAGCCTTCCTAGCCCAGAAGAGTGGTGAAGATCTGAATATCATTGCTTACTTTAGCCATCGACTCAACAAAAGCCAACGACATTATTCCGCAACCATGAAGGAGTGTTACGCTTCAGTACTGGCCATTCAACATTGGAGGCCGTACCTATGGGGTCGACACTTTACGTGCGTCACTGACCACGCGACGCTAAGGTATCTCTACACGATGCAAGACACGTCAAATATGCTTACACGCTGTGCAATTGCACTGCAATCCTTTGACCTTCGCGTTCAGCATAATCCGGGGAAACTAAATGTTATACCCGACACGTTATCGCGTCTTTTCCTTTTTGAAAATGAACAAGCACGCGAGGTACCACCTCTTGCTCCGATTTGCCGCAACGTACCAGATGATCCGAAGCTCCAAACGGCCATGCCTAACAGACCTTACCAAGTGTCAGCAGATAAACAAAACGACGTCCAACCTGTCCACAGCGATAGGGAGTTGTTCACTGTCAGCGCTACACGGGTATTTCAGTTGACCATGCCAAGCTACGCGAGAAGCTACGTGAAGAATACAAGGAGTTCATCGACTACATCCTTCACGAAAACGCGCCTCTCCCAGACAGAGAAACAGCAACGACAATGTCAAACTATTCAATACAGGACGGATTACTGTTTGAGTCGTACTTGCCTGGACACCTCCGCAAACGTAGTACGTTCAGCGATCAGCTGGTATTGCCACAAGATCTCACGGGTCTAGTAATGCACGCTTACTATGATCGTGCGCTTTCGGGTGGGCATCTAGCTTTCCGACCGACATACGAAAAAATTAGACAGAAATACTCGTGATATCCGCAACGGGTGTCAACCATGCCAACCATGTCAACGCAGGAAAACCCCACCGCCGTCCGAAACTCCCAACGGGTCACGTACCTGTCCAGCGACCATTTGAACGGATATCGGTTGATCTTGAGTACAAGTCACTCTCCAAATCAAACACAGGACAATACTGTAAATACACGCTGTCAATGATGGACCATCTGACACGATTTACCGTCCTTACACCGGTCCCAAACAAATCCGCTGAAACCATAGCGAACGTGCTAATCGAAAGGATAATCAGCATCTTTGGACCACCAGAAATGCTACATTCCGATCAAGGCACCGAATTCGAAAACAAAATCATTCACCAGTTACAAACGATTCTTGGATACCAGAAAACCCGCACGACCCCACATCGTCCACAGGGTGATTCCGTGTCTAGAACGAGTACATTCGAAAATGCATGCAATGCTCGCGATGCACAGTTCCATGGATCGTGACAACTGGGCGGCGCTTTTACCGATGGTTCGGTTAGCGTACAAAACGGCTTTCAACAAAACCATGCATGAGACTCCGCATTTTTTGACGTTCGGTCGCCAAACGTTTACCTGAAGATATGATTCTGGGCATTCCACATGTGGAATCTGCACCAGACACCGAAACATTCGCCAAGAATACTCGCGATAATCTACAGCTTGCTTNGCATGCAATGCTCGCGATGCACAGTTCCATGGATCGTGACAACTGGGCGGCGCTTTTACCGATGGTTCGGTTAGCGTACAAAACGGCTTTCAACAAAACCATGCATGAGACTCCGCATTTTTTGACGTTCGGTCGCCAAACGTTTACCTGAAGATATGATTCTGGGCATTCCACATGTGGAATCTGCACCAGACACCGAAACATTCGCCAAGAATACTCGCGATAATCTACAGCTTGCTTTTGACTGAACGAGCCACAAAACAAGCTGCGCGAAACGAACAATTGCCGCAGTTTCCCGTCTTCAAACCAGGTCAAAAAGTGCTTCTATACAAGCCGTACCAAGACTCAGACCGGCCGAATCCGAAACTGCTTTTCCCGTGGCGTGGGC